AGAGGAGAGAGGGCGCTTTTTTTTTTTTTTACTTATAGAGGGAAAAGCGAGACACAAGGAAGGGACAGATGATAGATAAAGAAGAGTGCTATCCGTCTCCTTGTTTCTTGTGTCTTCTCTTCTTTTCAGTTCATCATATTCCTCTTTTCGGCCTGTCTCTTCTGCTCTTTTCCTTACCCTTCTCCTTTTCAAGTTCTTCCTTTTTCGTTTTTCTGTTTCGAAAAGAAAGAGGGAAGGGAGAGAGAAGGGAGAGAGGATAGATAAAGAAGAGTGCCATTTTCTTTGCGCCTTGTTTTGTCTCTCCATCTTCTTTGTTCATCTCTCTTTTCTATTCTTTTCTTGGCTCTTCCCATTAGAATTGTGTTCCGTTGATCTCTCCTCTCTCCTTCTCTTTCCCTTCTCTTCTCCTGTTCCCCTTTAAATGACAAAAACACGAGAAAGGAAGAACAAGAGAGGAATGGAGGCCCTTTTCCTGAATTCTCCTGTTGCAATGAATAAGGAAAAGAGCATAGGAGATAAGGAAGGGAATTGTGGGCGATGGAACGGGTGTCCTTTTTGATAGTTTTCTGCATCTTCAAGGAAGAAAAAAGGACACCCGCCCAAGAAGGAAAAGTAACATTAGAGATAGGGAGGAAATTGAAAAGCTCCTCTCTTTACCTAGTCATTCCCTGTCCTCTCTTCTTTTTTGTTGTTTTTCTTATTCGCTTCAAAAAGCAAAATAACAAAATAAGGGAAAGGCGATTTCCTGAAGAGGAAGAAGGGCGCCTACCTGTGAATAGCAAGGTTGATTTTTTCTAATTAGGGAGAGACTTGCCCCGCCTGAGCCTCCCTGGCCTGCTTGTTGTGGCCACATTCCGGTACAGTTGCGCTTCCAGAAAAATGGCATCCTTGTTATCTCCTCTCACTTCCCTTTCCCTTCTCTCCTTCTGTTTCCTTCTGACTGATAAACCACAAGAAAGGAACTTGTATGATAAGGCAGTGGAAGGGTAAGCAGAGGGTGACTCCTGGCGCGTGGACCGGTCCATACTTCGTCATACCCCTCCTCTCGGCCTATCTCTTCTGTTCCTTTCCTTACCCTTCTCCTTCTCATAGTTCTTCCTTTTTGTTCTCTTATTTCGAAAAGAAAGATGGCAGGGAGAGATAAGGAAGAGAGGATAGATAAAGAGTGAGTGCCATTTTCTCTGCGCCTTGTTTTGTCTCTCCCTCTTCTCTATTCATCTCTCTTCTATTCTTTTCTTTGCTCTTCCCATTAACAATGCAATCCTTTTGTCTCTCCTCTCTCCTTCTCTCTCCCTTCTCTTCTCCTGTTCCCCTTTAAATGACAAAAACGCAAGAAAGGAAGAACAAGAGGGGAATGGAGGCCATGTTCCTTTCTTTTCCAATGGATGGGGAAAGTGAGCGGGGTTGGCTCCTTGTCCGTAGACCCTCCCCACGCTGCAGCAAATCCCTCCTCTCGCCCTATCGCCTCTGTTCTTTTCCTTGTTCCCAAACAGAAAAAGAAAATGGGTTCCTTTACATGTTCATTGTTCTTCCTTTTGTTTTCTATTTAAAAGGGAAAGATAAGAAAGAGAGGAAAGAAGAAAACGAGCACCATCCTCTCTTTGCCTGATTTTGCACCTCCCTCTCCTGTCTTCATTTCTCTTCCATGACTTTCATTGCTCTTCCCATGAAAATTGTTTCCTTTTGATCTCTCCTCTCTCCTTTCTCTCTCCCTTCTCTTCTCTTGTTCTCTTTTGAATCTCAAAATCACACCAAAGGAAGCTTCTTTTCCTTATTGAATTAAAAAGAAAAAGAAGAAAAGAGATAGGTAAAGACACTGAAGAGCTCCACTGCCTATTGTTTCATTCCTTTCCTCTCTTTCTATGTGTTGTTTTCCTTGTCGTTTCAGAAAGCTAGCAAAATAAGGGCAAGGGGGCTTCCTGAAGAGGAGAGAGGGCACCTATTTTTTAATTATAGAGGGAAAAGCGAGAGACAAGGAAGGGACAGATGATAGATAAAGAAGAGTGCTATCCGTCTCCTTGTTTATTGTGTCTTCTCTTCTTTTCAGTACCCCTCCAGAAAATTCAAATGGCCTCCTTGTTGTCTCTCCTCTCTCACTTCCCTTGCCCTTCTCTCCTTCTGTTACCTTTTAACTAATATAACACAAGAAAGGAACTTGTATGATAAAGCAGTGGAAGGGTAAGCAGAGAGTGACTCCTTGCGCGTGGACCTTGCCCATACTTCATCATATCCCTCTTTTCGGCCTGTCTCTTCTGCTCTTTTCCTTACCCTTCTCCTTTCAAGTTCTTCCTTTTTCGTTTTTCTGTTTCGAAAAGAAAGAGGGAAGGGAGAGAGAAGGGAGAGAGGATAGATAAAGAAGAGTGCCATTTTCTTTGCGCCTTGTTTTGTCTCTCCATCTTCTTTGTTCATCTCTCTTTTCTATTCTTTTCTTGGCTCTTCCCATTAAAATTGTCTTCCTTTTATCTCTCCTCTCTCCTTCTCTTTCCCTTCTCTTCTCCTGTTCCCCTTTAAATGACAAAAACACAAGAAAGGAAGAACAAGAGGGGAATGGAGGCCCTTTTCCTGTATTCTCCTGTTGCAATGAATACAGAAAAGAGCATAGGAGATAAGGAAGGGAATTGAGGAGCTCCTTTCGCTACTTTCTTATGCCCTTTCCTTTGTATCTACCACACAAAAACACCACTCTCAGCTTCCAAGAATACTCTCGTGGAGACGCATTGGTTAGTCTAAAAACCCGAGTCTCAGCTTCCAAATAGACCCTATTTAAGCCACCACCCCCCCCCCCCCACCCCCCCCCCCCCCACCCCCCACCCCCACCACCCCCACCACCCCCCACCCCCCCCGCAGGAAAGACCAGGCGCCAGAAAGCGCGCATGGCTACTACTACTACTAGTACTACTACTACTACTCTACTACTACTACTACTACTACACTACTACTACTACTACTACTACTACTACTACTACTACTACTACTACTACTACTACTACTACTACTACACTACTACACTACTACTACTACTACTACTACTACTACTACTACTACTACTACTACTACTGCTACTACTACTACTACTACTACGACTACTACTACTACTACTACTACTACTACTACTACTACTACTACTACTACTACTACTACTACTACTACTACTACTACTACTACTACTCGGCGTCACGTTTTTTTTTGATCGCAGAGGATTATTGGCGTGCATTTTTCGTGTCAAGACACGAAAACATCGGTATTTACAGTGTTTTGTGGCTTCGGACGTTTACGGAGACGAAAAACGGACGTGTAAAAACTGCGGGAAACTACTTGCAACTACTTTACGCGCAGGAGGAAAACATCGGGATTACAGTGTTTTCGGGCCGCAAAAACGTTCCCTTACAGGCGCCAATTTTTGCAGATGCATTTTCAGTACCTAGGCAAACACCGGTATTCACAGCGTGTCGTGCTTTTGGTGGGCTTGCAGAGGAGATGTGGTGTTTAGGGCTTAGGGTTTAAGGGTAGAGATCGTTTGGATTAAAGGGTAGGTATAGGTTTTGGATGTTAAGGGCAGAAACCTTGTGGGCTTGTGTTTTGTTTACTATTACTACTATTACTACTATTACTACTATTACTACTATTACTACTATTACGACTACTACTACTATTACTACTATTACTACTATTACTACTATTACTACTATTACTACTATTACTACTATTACTACTATTACTACTATTACTACTATTACTACTATTACTACTATTACTACAATTACTACTGCTACTGCTACTGCTACTACGTACTACTACAACAACTACTACACGACGACGACGACTACTACTACTACTACACCACTACTACTACTACTACTACTACTACTACTACTACTACTACTACTACTACTACTACTACTACTACTACTACTACTACTACTACTACTATTACTACGACTAGGAAAAGATTTTCAATGTCAATGGGAAAATAAAAGTCTTTTTCTCAGCCCCAGAGCGGGGCTGGAAAAGATCGGGGCCAAAAGAAGGTTTTTTGAACGCAGAATCTGGCGGGGTCAAGAAACAGATATTCTGGTAGCAAAAGCATTGCTTCGTACCTTCTTGCGGTTTGAAGTCCTTGTGAATTGCTCCGATGCCCCGAGAAGCTTTAAAAAACTCTCCTCATGGTCGAGGAACGGGTTGACCGCACCCCTAAGGCGAGAATGAGTGAGAAGTGAGTTGCCACACAGGCATAGATGGCATTGTCGCGGGTGTATGGGCGACAAGAGAGCGGCTTGCTTGAGCATTGGCTGGATTTTCTGCTTGAAAGTTTTGAATTCCTTGTGAATTGCTCCGATGCGCTTTAAGCATTTAATTGTCGTGTTGTTTGCAGGTGCAGGTCGTTATGTTTGTCATAGTTGTCCAGTAATGGCAGAAGTAGTCGCAGTGACAGTGAACGCGAAGCCCCACCCCTTCCTTTCAGGCCACAGTCCACTTCGCAAGCCTCGTACGCACTTGCGATACCGGGCTCCGCCCTGTTGAGCTGTACGGAGGGGGACGACTGAGGGGGGGGTGGGCTGGTTGTGATTTACGTCTTGTCATGCTGGCTTTTATGCCTCGGTGATGTTTTTCGGTTTTCTGATATTCCGATTTTTGTTTTCAGTATCTGTGAGTTTGCGCAATTTCTTCCTTGTGATGGTTCATGCTTGCTCCGCGCTCGCTTCTCAGTCTCAGTGGTCAGCCCCGTTAGATTTTCAGTTAGGATGGGGCCGCTTCGCTAGCAGCTCTACCATAGGTACAATGGAGTGGCCAGATCTGCCTCTAGACATCAGAGCGCTGCTGCAGAGAGACTTTCAACGCGTTGACCTTTTATGGTGTGCGTTCGATGACTTTCAACAAGCATGCGAACTTCTGGAGGCTGTTGAGCCTAATTTGGGGGATGATTTGGTTAAGAGATTTGGGAAGCAGTTAGATGACTGGAGACAAGAGATGGGCGCACTGCAGCAAAACGTCAGAGGCGCATGTCCTTGCAAGATCTCCACGGAAGTCTGGTTCAGGGCAAGAGCGTTGGAACGTCAGTTCTGCAGGCGGCCTATACAAAGCTTGTTTCAGATCAACCTTTGGCGTTGCTGCCGTCACTTCAGAGGAAAGAGCGTGCAGCTTTGAAATTTCAGGATGCTTCTGAGAGGGCTCGCAAAGAAAGTGAGTCTCGAGTTCGCTTTGCTGTGTTGCTTGGTGGGTTCGTGAGGGAGGCACAGCTCCCAGTGGTCGCTGAAATCGCTGCTTTAGCATCTCCAGAAGCAGGGTGGAAGCGTCTGTTTGGTACAAGAAGGAGCAAGACCCTTCGGAATCGGTACAGAGCATGGAAACCATTTCGTGACTGGTCAGCGACTACGAAAGGCTACCACTGGCCGCAACGAGCTGGCGATCTTGTGGAGTACGCGGAGGAGCTCTACGAGTCTGGTTGCGGGAAGACCGCGTTAGATGCCTTACAAGCTGCGCTGACAGTGCTTGAGTCTGCAGGCAAAGTACGGGATTCAGAGCTTCTTTCAGGTGACACACTTTGGGTTGCTACACTGAGAAGCATCACATCAGATCTGGTAGCTGCGCATCCGCCAAGGAAGCCAGCTGAGCTACCCACCGTGGCTACTGTTGTGGCATTGGAGTTATCAGTCTGTCAGGAGACGCTCCCGCTGTACTTCCGTGCAATGGCTTGGGTTTTCCTTTTGATGCTCTGGTGCAGCCTTCGAGCAGACGATGTGCAGGGTCTGCTTCCCGAGAGTATGTTGCTAAATGGAGTTGGCTTCAGTGCCACGCTGGGAAAGACGAAGACCACGGGGCCAGACCGTCGAGTACGCGACATCAAGATCTTTGTGGCGCGGGAAACGAGTCTAACTGGGTGCGATTGGCTTTCTGAGGGCCTAGCCATCTGGACTACTTTTAGCAAGCCTCGTGACTATCTTGTTTTGGAAGCAAAGGATGACTGGAGTGGGTCGACTGGGAGAGCTGTCGACCCTTCTGCACTGACGCTTTACCTACGGCATGTTTTGGCCAATCTTCGGGGTCCTCTAAGGAGGCCCAACGGGCAGTGGGTTCTCAATCTGCAAGTCAGGCTGTATCCAAACCACTTAGAGTCATATATTACTGCCCATGCATTGCGTGACTGGCTTGCTTCTTTGGCAGCAGCATTAGGGGTGCCTAAGCCAGACCGAGATTTCCTGGGGCGATGGAGCATTGGCTCGGCTGGGGGTTCAGCTGACTATGTGCGCACATCTCGTGAAGTGGTGCAGCGCGTGCAAGACTTGGTCGCCAAGACGTTGGTCACTGGCAAGCCTCGCCCCTACCTTGAGCACCAGGCTTTAGATCGTTTGGCTGAAGCTATGAACCTTCTCGATCAGAATGGTGCCCAAGTGCGAGCGCATCATGACATCCTGCGAAAACTGCCTGGCGCTCCACGCTTGGGTGGGGAATGGCCGACCTTCATTCCCGGTGCCGAAGAGGAGGAGTTGGTTTCAGTGCATGAGCCCAAGGTTGGAAGTCAAAGCGCTGCCCCCACGCAGCCCAAGTATTTCATCACTGTTTCAAAGCACACCGGTTTCAGAAGGCTCCACCTCAATGGTCAGTGTTATGTCAAGCCCTTTAAGTGTAGATCTGTTTCATATCATGATGTCGTTGACGGCGCTCAGATTGATGCCATTTGTCGTGATTGTAAACGGCGCGTGCGGAGGGAGACTGGCGAGGACCCACAAGAGGACTCGTCGAGCACGTCGGGCACCTCCAGCGGCACGGAGGCCGCTGAAGGAGAGGCCGCGGAGTGATGCGCATTGTTGAAGCTGTTAAAACATGATGCGCGCGCGCGCGCGCGCATCATAGATCTGTGCACGTTGCGAGGTGCGTCAGGTGCGTCAGATATCTCTGAACATGCATGTGCTGTAATGCTGTCTTACATGCATGTGTTGTATGCACTTCTGCATTGCTTGAGTGAGCTGAAACCATGTTTCTTCTTGTCATACCTGAACCCCCCTTCGGGACATCGCCTTTGATGCTCAGCCTTGAACTCGCGCGTTTCCATCAGGACTCAGGCTCTACTGATACTTTACATCCAGTATTTCAGTTTCTGTTCTTAAGCATGGATCTTCTTTGTCAGTTCGGACCTTTTGACTTCCGGGGGGGGGGTGCAACCACTGCCTTGCCATGGTTTCTCAGTGACAGAGCACTGCGCTTTATATCTCAGGGCCGCAAGGGCCGGGTTGTCATACCCAAGCTCAGATCCTTTCTTTCAGTCGCCACTTCTGCGAAATGGCTGTAGTCACAGATGATGAGAAGAGAGCTGCTGTGGCTCGAGTTGCGTCAGACTTGCAGTATGTTCTTCAGGAAGCTGGAGCTGAGCTCGACACGCAGTACCGCATTTGTCAGGCTCATCAAACTCTTCGGCGGTTTCAGGCCATCGTTGATACTCGTGCCGAGGCCCGTGCAGCGGCCAGGACTGATTTTGGTTGTGCTGACACTGCCGCGGGTCGCCAGCAGGCGGCGGCAGTGGTGGCAGCTTGGGAGTTGGCCAAGGACGTTTCAGCTAAGGAGACTGAACTTCGTCCTGAAGCGAAGGTTCTCGGGCACCCTCGTGTGTTGCAGGTTCAGGAACGACAGGCCATGCTGGCGGCAGTCGTAGCGGTGCATGGCCGTTTGAATGAGAGTGAAACGCCATCGGCTGAGTATTTGGCACTGAAGGCGGAAGAGTGCGAGGTGAATGAGCCCACTGCCGCACCTCTTGACACCATCACCTCCAAGCGTGATAATCTTGATACCAACATGCAAAGCTCTTTGGATCCCCAGGGCCATATCCGCATCACCCGCACGAAGCAGAAACTGGAGATGCCTGTCAATAGTGAAGCTTATCGTCGGGTCATGCGAGTGGAGATGTTTGCTTGGCTGGCCATGGCCTCACGCTTCAAAGCAAAGGACTGGTTGCAAGGTCTTGAGAGCACTCATTTCCTGAAGTTCACAGATTATGTTCTGGGTGAGCGGGTTGCCGGGTTGCGTCTGCCTTCTCCGACAGTCCGGGCACACAGTTCCGCCCTCCTTGGCACTCCGTGCTTTCTTATGAGTTCCGCTTGCGCAAGGAAGCCTTCCGACTGGTCAATGAGGAACGGGTCACTCTTGCCACTGCCCTCGAACGTGTGGTGCGGTACACTGAGCTGAAGGAGCTTTGTTTTACCACACCGCTTGCACTCTCCCTGGCCGACGGCAGTCCCACTAAGTTCCGTAAAGGTAATGGTAAGGGTAAGCACGAGACTCCAAAAGGGGGTAAGCCTTCCTTGAAGGGTTCTGAGGTTCTGAAGACACCTGGCATGTTCGCTGGCTTCACCTTGATCAGCACCACTCCCGACGGGCGCCAGATCTGTTATGCGTTTAACAGCGCTCGAGGCTGCAAAGGAAAGTGTGGCAGGGTCCACATCTGCAGGGTTCAGGGCTGCGGCAAAGCTCATGGCGTCCACCAGCACAAGGCTCCTGCTAAGACCTTGCCGGAGGGGGTCCCCACACCCCCTGAGTGACATGATGGCCTCGTGGGGGTGATTTACACCTTTGCGGGGCCTGCTAGGCAGGCTGATGTCGGTTCCTTCGTGCGCCAGCTTGCACCTCACCTAGTGCTTCATGAATTCGACATTCTGCGGGACTCTTCACATGACCTTTCTTCAGATCTAGTCTGGGATAAGATCCTTGCGCTGGTCCGCACGGGCCGTTGGGTTTTCTTCAGTTCTCCACCATATGACACATTTTCTCGTGCCAGACACTTGCGACCTGGTCCTCCGCCTGTTCGCAGCATGGAATTTCCTTATGGCTTCCCTTGGCTGCGCCAATCCCTTTCCGCACAAGTTTCACTTGCCAATTCTTTTGTGAGCAAATCTGTCCAGGTCGCCCTTGCGTGTTCAGAGGCTGGCGGCTTCTTCGCCTTCGTGCATCCTGAGAGCTTGGGGCGCGTCCCAGGGGGGGACATCCCGGGTTCCATTTGGATGTGGCCTGAAGTCTTGGACCTCATACCTAGCTGCCGGGCTGTCACTTTTGCGATGTTCCAGTGTGCCTTTGGTGCTCCCAACTCAAAACCTACGCGTTTCCTTGGGAACTTGCCTCTTTGGGTCGAATCTGTGCCTTGCTTTCCAGGACTCCCTAGATTGGATGACTCCGGCCAATATGTCGGCCCCTTGCCACCTCGTTGTGGTCACAATCACAAGTCCCTGCTCCGAGGTCTCGATGCATCGGGGGCCTGGCGCACCGCTTCTTCCGCTGCTTACCCTCCGCGTCTTTGTGCCTTTCTTGCATCCGCCTTCGTGGCCTGCGCCCCTGCGGGGAGGGGGGGTCTTTCGGCTCCGGCTGGAAGGCTCCCGCATGCTTTCAGGGAACCCGGGACGTAGGTTCTCCTTCGGTTCCCTTTCCGCCCTCCCCTCCTAGGAGTCCCGGGGCTAGCGAGGGTTTGGTCCTCGGAACCTTCTGTGGGATCGTCATTCACCGTTGGCTGCTACATGCAAGGGGGAGTCGGAGGCTTGAGGCACCACACAATGCAATACCCCGCGACAGCGAGGCTCCTTTGCACGTTTGTTCAGAAGCAAGCACCTGAGCATTGCTTCACGACTATCTCACTGTTTGAAAACGTCAAGACCCCGATGCACCGTGACGGCCGAAATGGATACCCCTACAATGCCGTGTGGGCCATTTCGACTTTCAAAGGGGGTCAGATTTGGGTTCAGGATTGCGGAGGTTCTGTTGCTCGGTTGGTAGGTGACTCTTCCTTCCACGGCAACTTGCATGAGCTGTCCGACACCTCGCCGTTGGTCTTCAATGCCCGTGAGCGATACCACTGTACTGAAGATTGGGAGGGGATAAGACTCGTTTTGATTGCCTTCAGTGTGTGCTCGCTCAACAAGATCAGCGCCGAGGAAATTGAGGCAGTTCGTGAGTTAGGCTTTGTGCTTCCTCTGAGCGACGAGCTCGCCGGAGAGGTCGACACGTCGGCACATGTGACTGAAACCCCTCCCATGGAACCTTTCCGTCCTGAGGCTTGTGGGAACGCAGGTCCCACGTGGCCTGGAGATTCGGGGCCGTTCACTGACGGCTTCGGACTTTGTTCGCCCACACGTTGGAAGCCGGGGGCAAGGGGTCGGCGGCTGGCAGTGGGGGCACAGCGCCTTGCCAAGGCTTTGCACATGTTGGTCAAGTCCTTCGTGCTCAGAGCTGCGCCCGACCCCGAGCGCATGGCTATGGAGTTGGTGCTTGGGCGGTTTCAGGCTTCACCGTTTCCTGCAAAAGAAATGAAGGACCTTCGGCGCCGTTGGTTCGGGTTGTTAGGTGATTTAGGGGTTGATTTTAGTTCTGTTCCCAGCGGGCAGCCTTTCTATCTCCACGCAATCGCCCGCACTGCCGAGTTGCTTGAGGATCCTGACTGGGAGATTATCACGGAAGGAGAGGACAACTTCGTGAGAGGCGTGCCGATTGGGGTGGATGCACCCATCCCCCATGTGCCCCAGGTTTTCGAGCCCAAGGTTAAGTCACGGCGTCTAGACGCGTCAGAGTTTGAGTGGGATCGGGACAACTACTCTAGTGCCCTGGAGTCAGAGGAGGCCTTGCTTGAAAAGTTCCGCGAAGAAGAGAGCTTGGGAAGGATGTACCCCACTACTCTGGGTGCGTTGCGTCAGGAATTTGGGGAGGCGAATATTCGAATCGCTTCGTTGGGTGCCATTCGCAAACCTGACAACTCAGCACGTCCGCTCCACGACGGAACGCACGGAGTGCAAGTGAATAATAATATTCGCCTTCTCAGTCAGCAAGCAGTGCCCGGCCCCGCTGACATAGCCTACATGGTGGATGAGCCTGTCAAGTGCGGGGAGGTCCCCTTTGTGGTCTCCGCTGATGTGGCTTCTGCACATCGGCTGTGTAAGGTCCGCCGGGCCGATTGGCCTTTCCTCGCTTGCCGCGCAGTTGAGGGCTCAAATACGATTTGGGTAAACACCGTAGGAACGTTTGGCATCTCCTCTGCATCGTTCTGGTGGGCTCGCTTATTCGGCATAATTGGCCGGACAGTGGCCCGCTGCCTTTTGCAATCCTGGTTTTATCAGATCGTTTACGTGGATGATTTACTATCCACCTTTGGAGGGCGGCAAAGATATGTGAACTCACTGATGTGGCTTGCGCTCTACGAGATGATGGGGACGCCGTTCTCATACAAGAAGTTCAAGGGAGGTTGGCGGGTGCAGGTCATAGGCTATGAGTTGGACTTTCAGAGTCATGCACTGGGCATCACAGCTGCTCGTGGGAAATACATTGCTGATTGGGTGGAGAAGGCCAAGCAATCCCACTATGTGGTCCAGACCCGTGACTTTAGCGAATTCTTAGGTCGGTTGGGTTTTGTGGCGAGGGTACTTCATTGGCTTAAACCACACTTAGCCCCTTTGTACGCTTGGTCCGCCGCAACAGCCCCGGGCTTGACTGCCACTTTGCCTTTGACGGTGATTCTTGTCTTGAGCTATGTCAACATGCTCCTCAGCCGTGAGTCCTACAAGATCAGTGCAGCACAGCCCACCGTGCATCGGGAAGCTGCTTTCCATACCGATGCGAAATGTGCAGATGGTTTTGTAGTGCTGGGAGGTTGGGAAAGTTTAGGAAAGGCTCCGAAGGATGCTAAGTGGTTCTCTTTGAAGTTGGGTCCTAATGAGGTGCCGTACCTCTTCGACGAAAAGGGGGGTTCGCAGTGGGCCTCAGCTTCAGCAGAGCTTTTGGGGACGCTAGCTGCGTTGTTTGCATTCGGTTGGTTGCAGCCCACCTTTCGCCAGCGTCGCCTCCCAGTGAATGTGACGGCAGCTACAGACAACCGTGGCAATGAGGCCTTGCGGCGTAAGCTCTCAACGACCAAATGGCCACTGATGTTGGTGAACATCCAGCTTTCCGACCTGCTGATGGCAGCCGGGTTGACGTTGTCACTTAATTGGAAGCCTCGGGATGAGAACGTTTTGGCAGATCAGCTCACTAATGAAGTTTTCACCTCCTTTTCAGCACAGCATCGTGTCAGTCTCAGCTTCTCAGATCTTCCCCTAGGGATTTTGTCTGAACTTTGGGAGACCAAAATGCAGTTCGAGTCTTCGCGCAAAGCGGCTCAGATGGTGCGCACTGACAAGCACCCTCGAAAGAAGCAGAAGCACCAAAAGACGGCCTGGTGATCGCTGTTGGGGGGGGGGAGACGCCCTGCGTACTCTCACGCCCATCTTTTGGTACTGGTGCTTGAGACTCGCCGCCACCTTCTCATGAAGAAAAAGAGGCTCTGGAATGTATTGATTCGATTCGCTTCTCTTTTCATTCGATTGAGATATATTTTATGTGAGTTGAGTTTATGCCCACTTTCTTGGAGGCGCAATTTTATGCACGTTTTGGTGCCGCACAATTTGGGACGTGAGTAATGTCTAACATAATGGAGAAGCGCGTCCCACGAGTACAGGCGATACCGGGCTCCGCCCTGTTGAGCTGTATGGAGGGGGACGACTGAGGGGGGGGTGGGCTGGTTGTGATTTACGTCTTGTCATGCTGGCTTTTATGCCTCGGTGATGTTTTTCGGTTTTCTGATATTCCGATTTTTGTTTTCAGTATCTGTGAGTTTGCACAATTTCTTCCTTGTGATGGTTCATGCTTGCTCCGCGCTCGCTTCTCAGTCTCAGTGGTCAGCCCCGTTAGATTTTCAGTTACCCACCCACCCGACCCATTTAATTTGTACAGTACCAAGCCCAGTGGGGGGGAGACGCCCTGCGTACTCTCACGCCCATCTTTTGGTACTGGTGCTTGAGACTCGCCGCCACCTTCTCATGAAGAAAAAGAGGCTCTGGAATGTATTGATTCGATTCGCTTCTCTTTTCATTCGATTGAGATATATTTTATGTGAGTTGAGTTTATGCCCACTTTCTTGGAGGCGCAATTTTATGCACGTTTTGGTGCCGCACAATTTGGGACGTGAGTAATGTCTAACATAATGGAGAAGCGCGTCCCACGAGTACAGAGGCGGGTACTCCGGGCAACGTGAAGATGCGCAGGAATGCGCAAGTCGCACTTGAGCCAAACACCATGGTGTTCAGCTAGACTGTCCATGTCAGCAGAGCGCCAAGAGTTCAGGTCTCAAGGTTTACAAATTCCATCTCAACTTTGCTACACAAAGGAGGAAAGCAAAAGAAACACGCAAAACCTTTCAGGATTGCTTCAGGGCTTCAAGTCTGTCTCCAAAACAACAGCATGCACTCACCATGCCTCAGTCGAGTCCCAAACGCACGCGTAACGGTACGAACGACGTGGGCAAGCGCACGGAGTGAGTAACTGCAAAGGTCTGTCCCTCAGAGTTTCACACGCGCTGCTTCAAAGCTTTGCCAAGCAACCTCAGTGCTCTCCAAAACTCATCCTCGGGAACCTGAACCAACGTCATGCCAAGACAAACATGCTCTTGCCATGCCCAAACAAGTTCTTGCCATGCCAGAACAAATCCATGCACAGACAAACATGCTTTGCAAAGACATGTCACTTCAAGACAGCTCTGTTCATCGAGCAAGGCAACTTCTGCGTTTGGAGCCGAAAGTACATTGACTACTTCATCAATGTGCCGTCGCAGCACTTCGACATCACGTCGGAGTTTCGCTTCTCACTTGCTGTGACTCGACTTTCTGGACTTTGGCAGAATTTCTTCAACTTCGCTTGGAATCAGGCTGCCCAGAACAGTAACGGGTTCATGCGTATCCCGCTCCGACCATCCGCCTTTCGACCAAGTGATCGAGGGCGACTTCTGGGTTGCCCGTGGCGTGGCAGTGCTGCAGTACAGTCACTTCGTGCGCGCTACTGTGGAGAATTTATGAGAGTGACTTCGATTTTTTAGACAGCATTGGCATCAATGTCACTTCTGATGATCTCGTTAAAGTGTTGTGGGCGTGACGCACGGCGGTGCTTGCTTGGAAGCTTTCCAACTTCACCCAATCTCACTTTTAGCGATTCGGTACAGCTGCACTTCAAAAAGGGTTGAAACAACTTCCTTCAACGTCGATGTTTAAAGAGGAGCATGGCACCTTCCTGTGCAGCCTGAGCTTGAACTTCAGACCCACACGTCGTGTGTGGCTGAAGCCGTCACACTTCAGTAGTGTGAGTTTTTCACCGTTTCTGCAAATAAATACTGATGCAACGTTTTGTGTTCCTGTTTGTGCTATGTTTTGTGCTATTCCTGCTCATGTTTCTACGACTGCTGCGATTTCTTGTGCTCCTGTTTGTGCTATGTCTGCTTCAGCTTTTCCAGCTCCGGTTTGTGATCTTTCTGGTGCGACTTTTTGTGCTTCTGCTTGTGCTCGTTAGGCAGGCTGCAAATGAACACTCCGAGCTTTACTTCAAAAAATATGTGCTTGTGGTCTTGGTGATCGGCAAACGCATTCAGCTGGTTTTTTGGTGTTGTTTTTTCGGCGTTTGTTTGTGTCTTTCTACTTTTTCTGCTTCAGTTTTTTGTTATTTACGGTGCTATGTTTTCTGCTCCTGTTTCTGCTAATCTTGGTGCTATGTATTTCTGGCTTTCTTCAACCATGCTTGGATTGCCGAGGGCAACTGGTTCGCAATCCTCTTGCTGTCTGATACTAGGGCGGGTGGCCTCATCCTCGCATGAAACGATTTCTTCAACGGAGAGGTCACTTTGCAAAATCCTACCATACAATCTGACAATCTACCTTCATTTGATTGGCATCTTAGGGTAAAGGCGGCTGTAAGGTTTGGGGTGGGCAGCGTACGGCTTTGATGTTGAGGTTGAAGTGTACATCGTCTGTCGGTGCTCGTTGGTGGGGGTTTGAGGTTCAGGGGTTCAGGGTACGGTGGTTGAGAGCGGCGTGCGCTCAATGCTCTTGAGCGAGTTCGAAGACAAAATGCAAAATTCCATCTGGTTTGAGCGCTTGCAATGCACATCCTGCAGACGCCCCTTCCAGATTCAGCACCAGGGGTCGTGCCCTTCGCTTAGAAAAGGGTGGAATCCCGAAGATGAGTTTGGTCCTGCAGGAGCCTTCCGCGCAGGACAGAACGCTGAACAATAGATTGTTGGAGGTTGAACAGGACAGTCGCAAGAGCAGAACAACTGGCACCAGAAACAACACAAGTTATGATTTGATGCAAGACATGCGGTCATTTGCCGTTTTTTTTTTTTTTTTTCTTTCCCATGCTTGTGCTGTTTGCTGTTAGCAGGGTGGCGGGTAACGCAAAACTTAATGTGTATGTAACCCCAAAACCACTGAAAAAGGAGTGATGACCCTGTAACCCTTATTTGGGGTTCAAAAATCACGTTTAGGTGTTTGCAACTGCCACTCTCGCAATTCAGCCCAAACCAAACCCGACAAGCTCACAAGAACGCTTTTTGACAAAAGGATCCTTGCAGGCGGTGGCCATGGAGTTGGAACAAAGGCCTTTTGGCTTGGGGGGGAAGAGGGGAAATCAAGCTGAAAGAGTCCGCAGGAACCAAATTCAACTTTTCCAAGCATGCAGAGTTGTTTTCTTGTGAAGAGGAAGGTTGTTCGTTCATGTTGGAGAGGAAGAGAGAAGTCAAACCGACATGGCCTTGCACAATCGTTTCCATCAAAATTGATTTCGCTGCATTCGAAACCTCGCAATGCTCCAACAGCAAGGCGAAATCCAACAAGCAACTTTCAGGCTTTGAAAAGTTTGCTTTCATCTGGCTGCTTGCAAAACCGTTTTTAAAAGGGCCTTGGGACCTGAAAACGGAAAAACGGATTTGGCCCGAAAGCCTATCTCGAGTTGGGAACAATTTTGGATGGGAAGAGGGAAAGCCAAGCCCAGCCTGACCAGTGTTTTTTGCGTGGTCCCCTGATATGTAAGCTTGAAATTTTGGTACCAACAATACTGAAAAGGCTCGCACTCTTTCCTTGGCCAAGTCGACACGGAACACAAGCTTGAACAGGATTAACTGCTGCATGCCCAAGCCAGACAAAGATGCATCGCAATTGAGCAATGTGTAGCAACTATGGATTGCATGCAAGTTATTTTCCATGCTTGTCCGAGCCAACGTTACTTTAGATGTTGTGATGCTATTGGTAACGAAGATTCATGAGATTCAAGCACAAGTTCTTGTTGTGTTTGGGCCACGCGTTTTTAAGCACAGCAGTTGCACGGTCGATCTTCAGCCGTGGCTATGGGGTGTCTCGGTGGAACTGAGCCACAGATCGAAGGTGAAGGGTGCTCGGCATGTGAAGGTATGATACGTGTGCAGGCTTTCAAATGCTTTCCCGGTCTCAGTGCGAACCCATGGCGCCAGAGGTCCATCTTGTCGCTGTTCTTTTCGAGACAACTTCCTGCTCCGGAGACACAGGCCGGCATCTGGCAACGTGCAGAGTTGGACTTTTCGATACCGTTTTGCGATGCCTTCGTTCATCTTTCTTTGCCAACGTTGTCTGGCACGTTGCGTCGTGTGTTTTTTTGTTTTAGCGCTGCGTCGCTGCCGCGTTTCCCTGTGGCCCGCACTTCAGAAACGATTTGCGTGCTTTGCGAAGTCTGGTTCTGAGATTCGATGGGGAATGGGCCACAAATTGGGTACTACAGGGAATGCCAACGAACGATTCCACGCCGTGATCCGGTGCGATCTCTGCAAAATGCATTTAAAGTAGCCATGTCTGCATGGGGCCCCGAGTGATGGTGTCTGGAATCCGTTGCCTTTGCCCCAGCCACATTGTGAATGGAGTCAACGTCAGAGTGACGCACTGCAAGGCGCCCTGGCAGAATACCATGATCGCGGCCTGCGACTGCCACGCGTTTTCGGGAGTGTTTTTTTCCGCTCCCTGCAACAGTGCCGTGTCTCGCTGGCTCTTCGTTGCAGCTTCGTGCGTGAGATACGCAAAATGACCCACATGTGGTCGTATTGTTGTTTCCATGGCCAGCGAGATACAAGTTTTCAAGACAAGTGAGCCCAGGAAATGAGAACTTTTAGCGAGACCGTCGCAATTACAGCGGTGAGCGGAACGGGCCGGCCCTTTTCGGAGGAGAGCTGTTGCAGGACATGGAGGGCATGCACAACAGACGCCGGAAGCGCGCAGCCCGCAGACCGGAGCTGGCTGAGTGCGCGGGACCACAGCGCTCCGTAGCGATGGTCGGACTGCCATGCTTGCAAGGCCTCGGGGCAAAGGCGTCCCACAGCAGCGTGCAGCAACGGCACGAAGATCCAGCTGCGCGTTGGGCCAGGGTGGGACGCGTGCTTGTAATAAAGGGTGCTCCGCGTGTGCAGTGCCCAATGCGTGTGAAGGTCAGGCCACTCCTCCCAAGCTTCGTCGCCGGCAGGGTTTTCCGGGTCGGCCAGGAAGACCCGGGGCATCAAAAGGCCAGCATGTGTGGTGGTGCGATAGCAGGTGATGGCGGGAGGTGGTATCATGAACGGATATGAACGGGTGCTGGCGCAGGAGGTGCGACTTGCTGTGTGTGTGGCAAGCTGCTTGGAATGCCGCCGCACCCCACGCAGGCCAACCGGCGCGGCAAAAAGGGCAACGCAAATCACGGAGATTGGCGACCAGGTGTGCCACGCAACCCAAGTGGAAGCGGTTCGCAAATGGGAAGTATGAGGGCCTTCGGCACAAGCCCGCTTGGCCTCCCCTCGCCGGCACTGCCAACATGGATGGCGACCAGCCCGCCATTCGCCAGTCGTCTCCCCCCCCATTGGTGAGCCGCAGCCGAAACAGCGCGAGTCTTGCACCGGGACCGCTGACAGCAAGACGCAAAAAAGTGCGCGGACAAACAAAAACTGCTCGTGCCCAGTGGACCACCCGGAACCACGGAACACAACTCAGGTGCGATGTACATTACGTCGTCGTCCTTGTTTTGTTTTGAATTGTTGTGACCGCAAGTTTATTTTTTATCATCGCATTTTTTTCGCCTGCGCGCTGCGATCCGCAGTTTGTCTACCTGCTAGCGAGCGCAGCGGCATATACGGCTCGGCCACGCCGCTTCGGCGAGGTCGAGCTCACAATACACCACTATGGCCAAGCTGCCCACCACCGTCGCGTCAGAAGTAGCTGCGGCTCGCAGCGCCGGTGGGATCGTTTGGGCGCGGACGCGCGCCAAATCTCGAACGAGCCGCTGCCCCTCACACCTTTGTTACGTCAGGTGGAGTTTCCCGTGCCCGCTGCTCGGCGCAGCGCCAGGCGCCTGGGTCCCTTATCGTCGGCAAGGTAAAGGACTTCATCCAGCCCCGGCGCTGCGGTCAACGCGGGTCCCGGCAAGGCCTGTGCGCGTCCGAGGGCTGTGTGGTCGACTTTGTGCTGCACGCAGACGGACGCTCCACCCGGGACGGAGAGTGACCAAGTGCTGAACTGAACCAGCTTCACCGCATCCTGGCACCACCGCCCTCCCACCTCGCGGCCAAGCTGTGCTTGCGCATGCTTGCGGCGGCTCTCAGGACAACGTGACATGTGGTCCTGCTTGGGATCGCAAAGCGCGCACGATGGGATCGCAAGAGCGCGCGCGAGGGGAGGGGGCAGGGACGGCAACAACACGCGGTCGCCGTGTATGCGACCCACACGGTTGCCACCACTGCCGGGCTCGGCGGTCCGTTCCTGTCGTTTGGGTGAGCTGGCTCGATCATCCACGAAGCAGTCTGCCCGTGCGTCAGGCCGCGTGCCCCCGAGGCCGCCTGTAGGCACCCAGGCCCCCGCCCATCAGTCACGCAGCGACGTCGTCCAGCGATTCGAGAGGCGGGGGTGGCGGGCAGCGTCCGGGTGCTCTACGTGGCCTTGAAAAGTTTTAACGGCACGTCAACATGGTCCGGACGCTGTTCCGATACAACCGTACATGCAGCGACGCAGATTGCGCACAATGGCCAACTTGTGGCAACAGCTTGCCGAATGTTGTGCGAGTTGAAATTTACAATTCCTACACGGTTTTGACCAATGCAACACATGTATATGACACGCGTTGACTCATTTTAAAGGTGTCGGACTTCCTGCACACCTCCATGCGTGGGCCGTCCCGGCTTCCTTCCGCAGTCCCAGCACTTCGGCCTTTACCTCGCTGGGCCACCATGCCCTGTTTTGCGGCCGCCCGCACCCTTGCTGCAAGCCATGTCGACGGGGACTCCCCACTGCCGAGCGACATCCTCGCAGACTCTTCCCTTGAGCCGCCCCTTGCAAGCCGATGCAGGCCGCATGCCGTAAGCGCCGTAGTGCACAGTTGGCCTGGGCTTGGGTCTGCACTGGGACCGCTTATCGGTAGAAGGTACGAGGAAAAAATGCTACAACATGGTCTTGATCGATTTCGAAGTATGGTATCACCAACCACCCTAGCAACATCCATCCGAGCATCCAAAGAAGTGTGTGGCCGCCAATATAGTTACAATGCAAGACAGGAAGAATACAAAGCCAGAGGACATCGTAACACCTTCCCTAGCCAAGCAAACGCCCATGCGTTACAAACCATTGAAAATTCGAGAAAAAACTCTGGCCTCCCGGAAAGGTGCACCGGGACCACGGACCGTCGTGCAGCAGGGAAAAGGAGCGGAGCCGCGAGATCAGCCAGGGGGATGTGAGCAGGGGGATCCCCCAGCCCCTGCCCTGTTCTCCCTTGGCCAACACGGCGGTCTCCGGGCGGCCGCATCCCATTTGCAGCCGCACGAACGCTTGCTGGCCTTCCTCGACGACCTATATGTCCTTACACACGACCCGGAGCGTGCTCGCCCCGCACGCGATGTTGTCGTGGAGGCCGGTGAGGCCCATTGCGGCATAGCGTCCAATGAAGGCAAAACCAGTGGTGAGGGGACCAGCCCCCCGCTGCGCGCGGCGTTGTCGTCTGGGCACGCGCCTTGGCCATTTGGATATTTTGCGGGCTTGGTCGGAGGGACGCATGTGTGAAGAGCAGCTCTTGCCCAGCCGCCAGGCCTTGCTGCGCTCGCAGGCCGGACCGCAAGCAGCCGCTTGCCCCTCGCGCCAAACGTTTGCGGCGGCACAGGAGCAGACGGCTGTGGCCGCCGAACGGACGCGTTGGGCGACCACGCTTTGGCGTGCCCGCGCACAGGCCTGTTGGCTCGCCGGGCGAAGGTTGTGGAGCGTGCTTGGGTTCACGTAGCTCGCAAGGCCGTCGGCCCGGAAGGCCCGGTTGTCCGAACAACGGCGCCGGGATTGCGAGCAGTGGACCAGCGCCGCTTGGATCTGGTGGTCTACGGCGCCACGAGCTGGGGTGGCGCCCTTTCCACCATGGTGTCGCCGTTAACGCGCGACGGTGAGCCGCACCTCCACGCGGCCAGTTGCGACGGGGCCTCGCTTCGCCGGCAGCAGTGCGCCCCAGAATTCACCTTGGAGTAGCCTCTCTTCCGGGCCATACTGCTCCGCAGTCTTCGCATGTTTTCGCTTGCCGTTGCCGCTGACCTCTGCCAGATGCTTGTGCCGTGCAATCCATGATCCTTGCGGCGACCATCTTGCAGCCTGCCCTCACTCTGGTGTTCTTCGTGCGCGCGGGGTGGCCCTGTGGAGCGTGCGTGTCAAACGCTCTCTTTCTTTGTCTACAGCTGCAAAGGTCCCCGTCCGAGGATCCGGCACAGTATACTTAAAGTGAAACTGCCTCTCTAGGCCCCAGCTGCGTCCGACACCCGGTGATGCAGGATGCGTCTATCCCGACAACATGGCAGAGAGCATGGACGGCCGTAGGGCGAGGCCCCCGACACCTGCGTGAGTCTCCGGCGTCCCGCGAGATCTCAAGCACCACGCTTGCCAATGGGCCGTAACGCGACGCAAGAAGAGCCTGACGGACACAAGCAGACACCAGGCAGGTGTACGCCTCATCATCTGCAATGCCCGTTATGGGGGCCTCCGGACGGATCTGTGTGGTATATCCACAACCAGTGCCAATCCCCATTCACTCCACCAACTCCTGGCGGCGGCGCGTGCTGCCGCCAGGATGTGCCGCGAAGCTGGTGCGGCCGTTGCTCTCAATGCGCTTGTCCACGACCTCAACGTCGACCCCGTCCAGCAAGACGACATGCGATTGAGGTCATCCCCAATGGCCTGCCACGGTGGGGAAAAGCGCAACTCGCCCCCGCAGGGTTGCCGGCGGAACAGCCCAAGGAGCGCACGTACCCTGAATTGTGAGGGTCCAGCTGACCGGGCGCTGGAGCACTGAGGCCGCCACAGTTGTCCGCCTGGAGCTGCCTTGCCTGTGAGAGAGAAAGAGTTGTCCGCCTGCTCGCAAGGTGCAAGGCGCTGTCAGCACCGCCCACGTCACGCTTTCGCTTTCGCTTTCGCTTTCGCCCGCCCACGTCACGAGCCGCCGCAATCTCTGCCTACACGTTCCAATGGTCGGCCCTCCTATCCTTCGCTGCCGCGCGCTCGTTACATTTGCTTCCCTTGCCACTTGCTACCAACGCCGTCCCTGTGCTCTAGCACCAACGCCGTCCCTGTGCTCCAGCACCAGCCGAGCGACAGCCTGCGGACAACAGGTCAGGCCAGGCGGCTGGCGAGTTTTGGCTGTGCTCAGGGGCGGCAGCTCCCCATCGACATTGGCCGTGCCAGTGACGGGCAGAGAGAGCAGGCTGGCTATAACAAAATGGCATGTCCATTGCCCATATTGGCTCATTCTGTGGACGAATCTTGATGGCTCCCCCAAACAACACGGTGCGTTGCTCGGACCACCATCCTGTATGTGAGGTTGTGTGCTTCCTGAGTTTTTTGTGCGGGCCTGGATCAAAGCCTTTCTTTTTTTTTCTTTTCATTTGAGCGATGCTCGATGCTTTCTCTCCGCTGCTTGCATGCATGGCCTCTCACACTTTGGTTTTCTGTGGCTTGCTTGTGTGGTCAAACAGTGGTTATTTGGCATCTTGGACAAACCGACTTCGTGAGACTGCCTCCGATCTGAACAGTTTGAATAGATTGTTTAGATGCAAGCATCGCTTTTTTCCACCTTCCCAGTTTGCAAGACTCCAGTTAGCAAGACTGTCCCCCCGGCAATTTGGATTCACCCAGTGCCTCCAATTATGTGTGTTGCATAGTTGTCTGGTGGATTTTTTGAGTCTTCCTTGCAGCCCGGCTGCCATAAAATTTTGTTGGCAAGGGTCTTCAACATTTCCGTGCGCAGTAAAGAATTTTCATTCCACGAGGGGCGAAGTGGATGGCCTTAATTGAGGCGTCTGAGCCTCTGTGCTGAGCGGAACGCGGCGGCAAGTAGAAGATGGTGGACACCGAATTTGTTTTGTTTTGGACTCGCCCGCCGTCACCAGCGCCTCACAGCTGGCGTATGCTGGCGTTGTTCCGCGCGTCGGTCACAAAGCCAAACAAGTGGGTACCCCGATCCGCCAGCAAAGGACAACGGGGAAAAGATAAATCTCCCACATCAATGAAACAACGCAACAAGATCAGCGAGTGGGCATGCGTTATCGCAAACTTTCGTTCCAGGCGAGGTAACACCCGGACTCTAGCATGACATTGGGTTTCAGTGCTGGCTTTGACAGAACATTTGATCTCTCATGCTAGGACATTCGCGATAACAGCAGGGCATCGGCATCACAGGACTTGTTTTCCTTTCATCTCATTGCCAACTTTGCTGGCTGTGTGCATCAGTTCGGCACAGGAGGCGTCTGCATTGCGGCAAAACATTCAAACGAAAGGCGTGTGTCATGAAATAAGAAGGGGTAGCTGTCACTCAGCCAGCCTTTGCCAGACACGTGCCTCATTGAAAGGTGAGAACGCCTATTATTATGCACACAATCGCAAGTTTGAGGCGCGGGGGTTTGGATGTCGATTGCTCGAAACGTCTTCGAAAGATTCTCGACACGTCTGAGGTCCCACCGGAAGCACGAGTTATTTCTGGACCCGGGCTGGTCACAGGCGCCACTGCAGTTCAGTGCAGGCGGCCATGTCTCGAATGGCGGTTCTTGTCTCAGGCGGACCACCGGTCAAAATGGAGGTTGCAGACGGCCAATCCACTCAAGGAGCAGAGCGACAAATCCAAGCTTTGCGCAATTTTTCATGGACCGATGATGGCGGGCCCGACACGGTTGCACCATGACATGCCATGACCAGATGAGTGTTTCGTTTGCACGTTCGCCAGGTGGGAAGGTGAAAGTGTACTTGCAGCTGCCGCCGGGCGTATTGCGAGATGCCTCGCAAGTATCGTGCGACTTCACATCACGCAGATTGCACGTCCAGGCACGTTCGCAGCTGCTCGTGTTATTTAGCTGTCAAAGGCTTGAACAGTTGACAGGCGTTTCTTTGACATCTGTATATTAATTATATCAGAAACAGTTATATATATGTATGCTACCCCCCCTCAAAACCTTCGTGATTTTCGACACTTGCGTGACATCAAAACGCTTCGAAAAATGAGAAGACCGACTCCCTAAATCCTGTTCCCTAAGTCTTACTTACTCCCTTAACCTTATGTACAAAATTCTATTGCATACGCCACTAATTCCGAAAAAGCCGAAGCC